GCTGCTATTTAACCCATAGCTGGGAGAAGGAGAAGAGATGGATTCATAACTTTCTGACGCCAACCATATTTAAGGTGTATGAAAATAAGCTGCAATAACAAATCAATAATAATAATAATAATAATTATTATTATTATTATTATTATTATTATTATTATTATTATCAGAATAATAAAGAGAAGGAGAAGATGAGCTTTATCTATGTAAAATGTGTGTGATCTTTTTTTTTTCTTTTTTTTTCTTACAAAAAATGATAAGCGAAAAATGTCATGAAGCTATTTCAGACATTATGTCTCTGGTTGGGACCCGGAAAGAAATTTATATGCAACAGAAATCCGATGAAAATATAAAAATAATAATAATAATAATAATAATAATAATAATAATAATAATAATAATTAAAGTATTAAAAATTCTCCAACTGAATAAATAGAGAACGGGTCAAATATCTATGGCCGCTAATTTAATTGTTCCAATGAATGAAGCTCGAAATGAAATTATTGGTTTAACGTTTAAGAATAATGTCGGGACATGGCGGTGGAAACTAGGATTTGTTGAAGTTATCAAATAATCTCATTTTAATTTGCTTGTTCATTATTATTATTATTATTATTATTATTATTATTATTATAAAGTAAAACGGTTGCTTTGTCTGCTGCTTAAAAAGCCCCGTTGAATTTCTTTGCACTTCCTCTCCTGGGGTTGTAAAATTATTAATCGTGCCTGTTCTGAAACGATGTAGCATAAATGTAAAACAATAGGACATTACTCAAAACAAATTACATTCAATAAAATATATTATGGATAATTATACATCTCTCTCTCTCTCTCTCTCTTCGTTTCTCTCTCTCTCTTCGTTTCTCTCTCTCTCTCTCTCATCCATTCTATCTCGATATATATATATATATATATATATATATATATATATATATATTTAAAAATTATAACATAAATATGATATAAAATCACTACAAAAATAGCCATTTTGTGATGATGATTAATGTAGATTGTACATTCAACATCATCACTTGATAAGACACTAGAGGTGTTGAAACAAAATTACTATTTTTGTAGTGATTTGATAATTTATTTAGGTTATAATTTTAAATTAATAATTATATTCGCTCTACTCTGTATTGAGCACTCTTTTCACAATAGTATTTGTTGGTTATTGGAATTTCTTCCGTATACACCAATCCTATACTTGTGTGTGTGTGTGTCTATATATATATATATATATATATATATATATATATATATATATATATATATATATATATATATATATCGCCTTGTTCATTATCTGCCTAACTCAACATATATATATATATATATATATATATATATATATATATATTATTAATAGGGATCTTATATGTATAAGAAACTATACTCGGATATATATTCGTCTCTCGTCCTTAGGTTTTCTCTCTCCACATCATATTGAAATACTGGTTACGTAGGATCACCGAAGTCAGTACTAGATGTGTGATCGCATGGCAGTACCAGATGCAGTAACCTTAGATGTGAGGGTGGTATAACAGATAATGGATCAGCGAGCCGAGTTCCAACTTCAGTTGGGTTCGTTATATTAACTTACGCGCAAATGCCCTTGGGAAAGGCATGAATCCACCGCTTTTCTCCTAGCTTCGGCTTACTTAGTTAGACTTGTATCACTAAACTATTATTATTTAAAAAAAAAAAATTCTTAAAATATAAAAATATTTTCTGACTTTAAAACAGCTACAAAAGCTTGATAAGCCGTAGAAATCGAATCAATCTGTTTTACATTTCTCTCATACGCTGTCTATATTCACAAATATAGCGATTTGCAAAGCGTATCACAAGCCGAAATTTCAGGTACCCAGTTAAAATTGAACTCAAGCCTGAGGTGTAATTGATCGAGCGTGACATGATTGTTAATCATCACACTGCGTCTAAGTGCCCAATGCGTCGCGATTTAGTATGGCGTACGGCTCTAACTAACTACTCAGACCATTCATAATTATTCTAGCGATAAAAGATACGCCGAAGTGATTTTCCAAAAGTAGTTTAGAATGTTGCACTTTGCCTAAATTGCGGAGCACCCAGTGAGGATCGAACTTACGACCTAGTTGTAATAGATCTAGCGAGACAAACTTGCTATACATTTCACCACGAGGAGTTGCTCAAACACACACACACATACACAATCACTCACAATCACTCACTCTAAACTTATTCCGACATTTCTGCCACAAATTACATTTGGTTAATTAAAAGTAGATACGAATAAATTAAAATGTGCAAATTGGAATATTACGCTACAAAATTAACAAAGTAATAAGATTTATCATTTTTATCTGAATTTCTGTGATGAGGAGCTATCAGTATTTATGCTATTTATATTCAGACTATTGTCCTCATCTTTGTTATCTCTACGTTTCGGTCTTCAGTGCAAATGCAAGGCTATGAGAACCTCCTTATTACGCTTAGAAATAAATACAATATGGGCGATAACATCAAGTCTTCAATCGCAGCAGCAGCAAATGCAACCTAATCAGCAACCAGTTTAAGTTTAAGGCTCTAAGGGATAATGGCCTAGTGGAAAAAAAATGTCGATTTGTGAATTTGATGAAATAGTGAGTTAAAACCCTGGATCGAGCATGTGTACATGTACTCAGTGGAATCGGGCGATAACCTAACAGTACTAACTAGAATAAGTACTAACGAGAATAAGAACTACATGATATCCCGATATTAAATAAAGGGTTACCCAAATTGATAAACATGACAAGTATACATTATTTACATTTTCCAGATTGTCGTCCTCATCATTGTTGATGTTATCACTACGTTTCGATCTTTGTGTCGAAAGAATCAGTGCATATGCAAGGCGATGAGGACCTCCTGCTGTCCTCATCTTTATTGCCATATTCATGACGTTTCGGCCGCTGTACGCCCCGGTTTTCTTCAGGTGATTGGAATTTCGAACTGAACTCTTTATTTCGTCCATCGGGGTAGATTGTTCTAGTTCCATGCCTCTTCCGATTGACTCAGTTATCTGCCTTTAATTCAACTCTACAGGCTTTTGTTCACCATTGCAAAAAATTCATACTGATGGAAACATGACACAGTGGATAAACGCGTTGGCTTGATCCAGTGACTCCACCCAAAATGTTGTGAGTTCAATAGCTGGCTACTACAGTAGTCAACAAAAGCTTGAAAACTTTAGTATGGCCTAAAATGTGAAACCCACATTGAGAATCGAACTTAATACTCAGTAGTAATAGATCTAGTCAGGCTCGCTTGCTAAACATTAGATCATGTGAAGTTGCTCAAACTGGAATTTTTTCTGTTTTTTGTAATTTATGAGTATTTTCCCATAATGCAGTTCTTAGTAAGCTAATCTCAATGACTGTTAAGAACTGAAATTTATTCAATCCTTACTGCGTGCCATAAGTTGTAGATGTACACCTCATTAGGAATACAAAGGGTCCTCGACTTACGTCAGGGATCCGTTCCTACGGTGCGACGTAACCTGATTTTTAACGTAGGTCTGAACTCACCTATATAAGCACCCACGAGTCTGCCTTAAACTTGGGAGCCATAATGAAAGGCAAAAAGTTACCCCACCCCGAAAAAAACGACACAAACGAGAGATAGCGAATATAGCACAATCCAATATGGCGTACATCTTGTGAAGAAACAATGCCGTCTTCCTCATATAGCGCTGCGTGATGTCATATATTATGGGAGATTATGCCGTTACCAGGAAACGTCGTACGTTGTGTCCGACGTAACCCGAGGACCTTGTGTAATTAATAACCGTCATCGGCATGTCTGTATGCGAGCTAAAAGAAAATTGTTTCCTTTTTGACACTGATAGGTTGAATTTGATATAGATGAAAGAAAAGTTAGGAAACTCTATGTGTCTCTTAATGGATTGTTAGCAACCTCGTTCTGATATAATGTACGCAAATCTGGCTCGGCAATGAAAATGTCCAGTCTTTTGCATGACTTATTTAACATTAGAAAACTGTCAGTAGTTCTAAATAAAATAGGTGGAAGAAAGAAAAAAAGAGAATAGATTGGAAGGGAACTTTGTTCAGAATTAATATAAATTCGGAGGTTTCTTTTATTATTTGGAAATTAGTTTTGTAGTCAACGGGTTAAGTAGCAACTATTTCGGAATACAAATTTGTTATTCGGACAATTTTTAATTACATTTAATCAGGAATACAAAAAACTTGGAGTAGACAGAAACAGAAAAAAATTCTAAATTGGATATTTTCTTTTCTCTCTCTCTCTCTCTCTCTTTATTGTTTTCTTTTTCTTTTTTTTTAATTCAGATAAGAATTGCTTGTTCTAAAAGTGCACTAACGTCTACCGAACTGAAGAAGAACTTCACGTGACACAATCTATTATTTTTATTCCATTCATTTTCTTGTAGTTTTTTTTATGTTTGTTTGTGTGTGTGTGTGTGTGTGCGCGCGTGCGCGTTTGATTGTCATTGTGGTTCCTGTTGCCGTAGTTTTATTGTTTTCGCTTTTTTCCCAATTTTTCGGCGGGAAATTAATTTAATAAAACTGTGTCCCTCTTGGGCGAAGGCGTTCTTATTTCCTGTTTGTAACTCGCACCCGATCCATCCTTGCTTCCATTTTTATATCCACCATGTTTTTTTTTCTCTTTCCCTCTCGCACTAATTTCTCCTCCGTCGTTCATCTTCTCACTTTTCGTTAAATCTGTCTTCTGCCATTTCGAATTTATCAAAAAAAAACTTTTATTCTTGTATTTTTACGCGCATAATTTCTAATTCAAACCTTCTTTCTTTTCTCTTTCCAATTACGCTTTATCATATTGTGTCCTCTTTCCATCTTTATCACCTATTCCTTCTCTTCTCGCCCCCCCATTTAGGCCATGATTACCACAAATCGCTCTTGTCTATTCTCTCTTTGAATTTATCTATTCGTTTTCTTTCCCAGTGCCACTCTTAAAATTGTACCTGCCATATTACTTTAATGTTTTATTCTGTCTTCGCGCTCCGTTCAATTTTGTGTCTATCGTTCCTCGCTGCCGTTCATTTTCCTCTTTTCAAGTGCTTATTTTTTTCTTTCCTCTATATCTCCATTCTTCCAACATTTTCCCTCCGATTTGACAATGTTATCGGAATTTCCCTACTTTCTATTTCTCCTAGTTTAACTTAATTCATCATTACAGTTTGTTAATATAAAATGCATATATCTAACACCGATCATATAAGCCTCTCACTCACCTTTCGTATCTATCTATCTATCTGTTTGTCTGTCTGTCTGTCTATCTATCTATCTATCTATCTATCTATCTGTCCGTCTATCTAACTATCTGTCTGTCTGTCTGTCTGTCTATCTATCTGTCTGTCTGTCTGTCAGTCTTTCTATCTATCTATCTATCTATCTATCTATCTATCTATGTTACTTGCTTTCTCTCGTTCATTCATTAAATCATTCACTCATTCATTCTTTCTCTCTTTTTTCTTTTGCTCTGTTGTATTTAGTTAATTAGATTTTTATGTAAAGAAGCCGTATGATTTGCGTTCGATTATTTTCTCAATTTCCTCTCGGTAATGGTCTATATAATTTTGAATCCCGATTTTCAAAGATGATACGTTCAAAATAAGGCATGTGCTGCATTACTCTGTACTAATCTGTACTAAACACCCCCCTCCACTTGGATATTAGGTGCAAAAAAAAAAATAAATAAACAACAACTTTTATTCGTCTAACTCTTCGCTTTTATGCTTCGTACTAGATTACACCAAGCCTTGCCTATATCTTTCTTATAATTTCGCATGGCCTTGCGGAGTTTTGCAAAGATTACCAGCAGCGTGAGATTGTTCAACTCTCATGATCAAATGCTTAATGTCCCTTCAGAATAATTTTATTTGGGGAAAGTATTCACTCCATTACACCCAGTATTTTGTTTGACATATGCGTCTACCTTTTCCCGAGAAACCTACAAGTGAATGAGAAAATATCTTACACTAACTCTAAATATACCATGGCAGTAAAAAAATATATATATATATATATATATATATATATATATATATATATATATATATATATATTTTTTATATATATATATATATATATATATATATATTATTTTTGCTACTGCCATTGTATAAGAGCAGTCGATTTTAAAGTGTATTCCAACGTAGTCAAAATAAATAGAATAACATATCTCGGTCATTTATTTTCATCACGTCCAGGTTGGCCACCCTCAACGAGTACTTGGTATTGCGAGGCTCCTAGTAGGCCTCTTTCCCTGTTGGAGAAGTCCAGTGGACTCAAGTCCAAACTAGCTGAAGAAGCACATATCTATGCCCTCATACCTGGATCGATGTAACGTTTTACTACCGTCATTTGAACCTTGATGTTGCCGGTGGTATTGATTCTGACGCAGTTTGGTGACATAATTCGTCCCCTATGGCTCGCAAGCATCAGAGCCAAGAGAGATGACGTTAAATAAGTGTGAATCACATTGAATACGTTGACAACTGTCGTTCTTAGTGTTCCACTGGCTTGATATCTTCGAGGTTTTCCTGGTGGGCAGAGAGATTTATGAGTACGAAACGAGTTTTCATTTTCATGTCGTTGTTTGGAAACTGCCATGATCATGCAAACGTCCTACCAACTGTTCCAACGGGCCTCGGTGACGAAGAGGTAGCAAATCATATCTGTCTATCTATCTATCTATCTATCTATCTATCTATCTATCTATCTCAGTCTATTCATCTATATCTATGTCAGTCTATTGCACCACATATTTATCTTAGTCTGTACATAATTCTCTGTCTGAAATGAATTGATTGGTTATATATATATATATATATATATATATATATATATATATATATATATATATATATATATATATACAATTGGAAAAAACTGTTTCGAAAAAATATCCCATAAAGCATTTCGCACATTGCGGCCATCATCAGATCGAAGATAAAGTCAATTTCGTGTGTATGCATTTGTGTGTTTATTCAGAATAATGAGTTCACGTATTTTCCACAAGCTGTAGTTGCCCGTGACTAAAAAAGGAAGAAAATGAGTGATTTTTTTTTTAAATTTGTTCAACATTGTATATACTTTGCTTTAAGTGTCCAAGTTTAGAGATAGAAATCCATCAGATTAGATAGAAAATAAATGAAATATTTGTTTTTATCCATGCGTTCTACATATCGAAAATAGTTTTCTAAATTTTGGTAATCGATCTGATGAACCCTAAAATGGGTGAAAATGCATTATCCGATATATTTTTCGAAACATTATACTTATATGAACGTTTTCCAATTGCAATTAATGTAAAACTCTCTCTCTCTATATATATATATATATATATATATATATATATATATATATATATATATATATATCCAGAGTTCTATATATATATATATATATATATATATATATATATCAGAGTTCTACTATATATATATATATATATATATATATATATATATATATATATATAAAATGGACAAAAGTCCGACAATTTATTTATTAAAGACATTTTTTTATGCTTAACGTTCTTTTTTCTTTTTTATTTTTATTTTCTTGTTTGTATCTATAAAAAGAACGTTAAACATAAAAATGTTTTTAATAAATAAAATGTCGGACTTTGTCCATTTCTTAATATATGACGTCATTTGTTTACATTTGATACGCCAGAGCAGTTATGAATGTACGAGATTCATGGAAGATTGAAGTTTATAAGCAGTAAATTCAACCTTGCCTACCGAACGCTCCTTTGTGGCCGAGTTAAGGCACGTCAGCGTAAATGACGGTTCCGTATAGGATGCAGGTTCGAATCCTGTCAAAGGACGAATATTTTCTATGAAAATGTCTTGGACATTAAGGCCGGTAAATGTTATTTAATACTGTTTATTATAAACAGAGTATTTACTTAAATACTTGTATCTATAAAAAGAACGTTAAACATAAAAATGTATTTAATAAATAGATATATATGTATTGGAACTCTATATATATATATTTGCGTGTGTTTATTTGTAGGATATATAACAGGACTCCAAAGAGAAGTAATTATAATGAAACAAAGGGAAAAATCTATTCAGTGATGCTGCATTTCAGTATACGGTGTTAGGTTTGGCTTCATCGGGTCAGAAAGGAAGACAGAACTGTGTAAAGAAAATGTGTTGAGACTTTTGAGGATAAGGGAAGCAATAAATTAAATTACCTTATCCCATTTAATGACCAAAAACCAGAAAGTGCTTTTTTGTTATATATATATATATATATATAGCTGTTGCTGTCTGTTTGAAATCATATATTATTCTCAAGCTGACGTTGCTCGTGACTGGAAAAGAAAGAAAATTAGTGACTTTAAAAAATAAAGACGTTTAACATTTTGTGTTCATTCCTTTAAGTGCTCGAGTTTAGAGATGGGAATCCATCAGAATGGCTAAAAATTAAACGAAAGTTTTTTTTTTCCATGCGTTCTCCATGCCGACAACATATTATAAATTTGAGTAAATTATCCCGACATCATCAAAAACATAAAATGTTAAACCAATATTTTTTAATAAGTCACTCATTTTCATGAGCATTTTTCCTTTATTAAAACCCACTCACTCTAGAGTTAATTTGTTTGTAGGTATACGCAGTATTAATTCTTAAGTTTCACTTATATATATATATATATATATATATATATATATATATATATATATATATATATATATATATATATATGTGTGTGTGTATGTGTGTGTATGTATGTATGTATGTATGTATGTATGTATGTATTTGGTGCGATGCAAAAAAATTGTCGTCTAAATTGCGGAAAATTTAAAATAACTCTGACATCACATTTTAACATATTTACCAAAATTAGACAACACTATTTTGAAATAAAACAGATTAAATTCATTCAATAAATTTGCCATTTGCTTCAACCACTGCCTCCACACGACTTCGGAATCTCCTGCATCTCTTCTGTACGGTCTCCTTGTTTAAGTTGGTGATTGCTGCCATAATCCTTACCTTCATTTTTTTATGCGATCATGGCTCTGCTCTTCCTTGTAATCCTTGAAGCTCTCATCATGTTTCTTCCTTTTGCCACGTTCTGTCATCCATTTGCTTAAGGTCGCTAGGTATATTATGCATAGTTTTCACTTTTCCCGCTTTCCCTCGATTCGGCCCTTGAGTATCAGATTCTTCAGCTTTCTCATGAACTTCAGCTGCTTCTACCTGATGCTAAGTAATAAGCCTCCTCCTTTTTTGCGTCCTCATCTTTGCTCACTCACTCAGTCCATGATAATCTTAGCATCCTTCTGTAGAACCATCTCCGTCGCCTCGAGTCTCTTTTTCATCCTTGAGGAAATCGTCCAACATTCGCTGCCGTAAAGACGTCTCGTAACAGCTCAGTATTCTTTTCATTGTTTCCAAAGAAATCCCCCTGTCTCGAAATACTCTGCCCAAGTTTTTGGAATGCGTCCTTGTCCATCCCATTACGTCTATGGATTCTCAGGGTCGCACTTAACATCCTCTACTATTCCTCTATTTATCTGTTTTTCTTCTCTCTCTCGAACATAATAATAGTATTGTAGTTTGTTTTCTTCCCTTCCGCTCTATAACAATGCATCTATCTATTTCCCTTCTTTTCTTCTTACTTAATGGTTGCTTTTGTGTTAGTATTCTGTTCTGTCTACTTTTTCGTAACAATAACTTTTATCTCTTATTGGGAAATAAGGGAGGTTACCGAATAGAATAATCGCACGAAGGTTGATAATGAACGATAATACTTAGGATAAAAAAAAATAAAACACATATAACATAAACGGCGCGTAGAAGTTGTCAACTGCTAGAAATGAGTCAGGTGAATTCCACAATGAATCTCCAACTGCAGGATAACTACCAACTGCCCAACGTGGTCAGATATGGCACAAGGTCGAATTTAATCTGGAATATCCGAGCCCGTAGGCTCAGCCAAAAATTCTCCGTAGACCCCCTGTAAAATAGGGCCGGGTAGTTGTTTCCCGAAACGAGACTCTACCCTTCGACATAGTCACGTCTGGGGATCCTCTCTGATCGGGGGTAGAGTGTTTGATCAGCACATCTGAAGACGAATCACCAACATCTACCAACTGCCCCACGCTGTCATATATGGCACAAGGTCGAATTTAATGTGGGATATCCGAGCCCGTAGGCTCAGCCAAAATTCTCCGTAGATTTAAAATGGGGGGTAGTTGTCCGAAACGACAATCTGCCCTTCGACATGCACGTCTGGGGATCCTCTCTGATCGGGGTAGAGTGTTTGATCAGCACATCTGAAGACGAATCACCAACAGTTCTGCCCCACCGGTCAGATATGGCACAAAGTCGAATTTAATGTGGGATATGAGGCTCCGGAAAAAAAATTCCCCGTAGACCCAATGGAAAAATGGGGCGGGTAGTTTTTCGAAACGACAATCGCCCTTCGACATAGCCTCGTTTCCTCTGATCGGGGAAGAGTGTTTGATCAGTACATCTGGAGGCGAATCCCCAACAGCTCTCTACCCACGCGGTCAGATATGGCACAAGGCTGAATTTATTGTGGGGCAGATGTATGTTTGGCGAAAAAATTCTCCGTAGACACCGTATAGAATGAGGTCGAGTAGCTGTTTCTCGATACGAGACTTTTCCCTTCGACATTGCCTCGTCTGGGGATCCTCTCTACCCGGAGGCAGATAGTTTCACCAGCACAGTTGGAGACGAATCTCTAACTGTAGACCAACATACAGTATTTACTACTGCATTTATGTGAATGGGGACATAACCATTATCGTCCATAGTTATGCTACAACATTTTCTTTTTGTCTCCCTACGATTCTTAAATTAACACATTTTATTTCTTATAAAGAAGCACTCAATTCGACTTTCTAATGCGTCTTTCAGTTTTCTGTATTTCTGGACTGATTTTTTTTTCTTTATTTTTATCAGCTTTTCACATCGATTATAATATTCTTTCCCAGAATGTTTAAAAATAACAAATGTAGCCATACATGTAGGGGGAAGGGTTCTATAGACCACCGTCTACAACTACTAACAAGTCATCCAAAATACCAAAACCTAGATCTCTGACAGCTTTTTAAATGATTATATTGGGTAAGGAACTAATACTATTGCTATTAGTAATTATAGTAATAATAATAATAGTAATAAAATGTTACTATTATATATACATATACAGGAATCTCTCTATCATTGCCGTCAATGAGTACATTAAAAAATACGCACTAATCGAAAACGCATTAATCGAATGTAATAACATAGAGAAAATGACGTAATTTGCACGTCAAATTTTAGTCTCGTTCACAATAAATTTCTGCTTTGCATACTTTTAAATTAAGATATAAGTATATATAAGAAAATGCAATAAAATTGCTATGAATTGATATATACTAATCTGAAATTTTATGAAAATCTTATTTAGAGTGGTTTGACGTATGGTATTCTTCTATTCTTCATATATTTAGCGGTACTGAGAAATTGCCCCTTCAAATTTTCCTGACATATCATTAGTATTTTAATCTGAGTATTTTATTTATAATCTTTCCGTAGTAAATTATTTATATTTCGATATTTCGTAATAAATGTAAATTTTTGTATCTAATTAAATCGTCCATTTCTTTCTAAACAAAGTTCCTTTTAAGACCTTCAATTCAAAACTTTTAATAGAGACATATATTCAAATATGAATTTTTATAATCGGCTCATATTATAAAATTGATCTATTTATGACCGTCCATTTTTTTGGAACAC